ACTCTAATCAATAAATACCTGCCGTGTCCGTAAGGCTAGAAGGGATTAGGGTGGTTGGTTTCATATCATTGTTACATTGACTCAATTTTAATATGCTAATTCACTGATCTATATATTTAGACCAGTTCTATATCTCTCCCTTTCTATCTCTTTGTTCTCTAGAACACGACTTGACTTACCACATGTCATATCTAATTTTTCCTTTTCTGTTGACCATTCCCCGAGGAGTAAAGAATAATCTTCCAAGTGGACAAAGACCTAAATTTTTATTAGATTCATTCCTAAGCTTGCTTTGTTGCAGCAAGATGATCCGTCCTAGAGTGCTAGAGAGAAGAGAAAGCGGTAAAAACCTCTCTTATTTGGTCACCGAGAAGTCGGACGACTCTTCAGCAACCTAGGGTGATCCGATCCCTTCGATGCTTTTTTTTTGTATATATACTTTTTAAATAAAATATTACATTCTTTATATACTTTGGTTAGACAGTTATCAATTTCACGTGCAGTTCCTTCTAACTTTGCTTTCTTTTCCACCCAAACTTGCTAAACTTTCTATGAATTTCTCTAGTTTGGGCGATTTCTGGGGCTACATAGCCAAAAACTGCTTCGTTGCCAGGGGCAGATGTACCATATCGACTATAGATTAAACGGAACCTGCTTTTACCTAAATTTGGTATTTGTCTTATGAAAATTCATTAAATTTGTCTAAATTATTAATTCAAAAGAACGACTAAGTTTTTCGAGTACATAAACTTCAAAAGTTCAAATCATGGATTCAACTGTACTCTTGGTCCTTTTGCCTTTCCCATTCTCCTCCAAGAAAGCTAAACCTATATATAAATATAAATCCGGGAATTGGCAGAATGATGTGGCAGTCCTCTAATGTCAGCATTCTTATTTATCTTTTTTCCTTTTTTTTGGACTTTTATCCTATTTTTAGTACAATCTCCATTATTAAAATGTTTTCTTACATAATTATTGGTATGAGTTTTAGTAAGGGAATAGGAGGAAATTTTGGAATTGAATTACATGTTTCATTATATATAATAATTATAAATATTAAATAACGGAGAGATAGAGATTTCTCATTTATCCCTTTTCCCCTTTTTTTTTGCTTTCCCCCTATCATTTTCCATTTATTATATTCTCTATCGTAACATGAACTTCAATTTAGTATTGCAATTTATGTTCCCAAAAATCATGTTCTTCCAAAAAGAGTGGAACGGCTGCAAGAATTAATACAAATAATGGTCGCAATTTGAAACGACGCCTTCTTAGTTATGGGAAGATAACAACATTTAACATCATGGTGGCAATTAATCTTCATCCATTTTCTTCTTCAAAAAGCTTAGTATAAATAAACTGTAAGTGATAAGAAAATCTAGGGGATCTAAGAAAAGCAGTGAATTGGAAGAGGTATCTACCACCAGTGGCTAGCGACTATGTGTTCTATATGAAACTTTAAAATCAATTGTCAGATTTGTTTGGGCTTCTTTTTTATTATGTTCTCTTATTTATATTTACCATATTTTGAAGAACTCTTGTGCTGAGAGACTTTTCTTCTTTGTTATAGTAATAATATTATAGTTTATATTTTAGGTTATCCATGCCTATTTGTATTTGTTTTCTCTTTTGAGCCATGGTAGAACTTCACTAATTTTGTGACTCATTTTATGTTCTTTCGCAGTGTTCCATATATGGGATTTGTTTCTTTCTCACACGCTGTCAACTAGCAAAGTTATTGGTTTATTATGGTAACTTTGCACATTCATAAAATGTTAAGAGAGCCCAAATTTAGCATGTATTTTTTTGAAGGTCAAGGTGGAATTTGCAAGCACGTGTATATATATGTACGTTGTTCACATTGTTAGTGTTGATTGTTCGGTCTTGAATGAGGTAATTGAGACTTTCGGTATTTATTTGTTATCATAACTCTTAATTATCTCTTATTTGGTTAATAATATATGTAACATGTGTTGGAATGCTTCATGAACTCGGTTACTTCTGGTATCTCTAATGGCAAGTTTGGTGAAAGACCGTTTATATGATAGCCAAAAGTCGATGCCTCTATGATAGCTGTTGTCTTGGTCATTCAGTTAAATTTCTTCTTCTTTTTCGGCTTCTATTTTACGGAGTATATATAATATAGATTAAGCCAAAAATATTTCATATACATGACAATACGTTGAAATGTCACAGCTTTCTTATACAGATTCTTTAGGTCATTGAAAATCTCATAATGTACTTCATAGTAGTAATACATTATCAGTACTATTTAAATTTTAAAAACGAGAAGACAACGTGTTTCCCCTATTTTTGCATTTACCTTTTTATTTAACAAGCGCAAACGTCTCTAAATATGATTACTGAATTTTCCTCTAACAATATAATTGTTATTTACCATGTATTCATAAAACATCCGTTTATGTGGTCTTTTATGGCCCAAATATTTTATCCGATACTTTTACTTTAGTACTTGTAACATGGCACTCTCTTACATGAGTACCTATTTACTCTTTTGACATTTTTATACTTTCTTATTTTTGAAATTTCAAAAGCCTCTAAATACAATTACTGAGTGGAGGGCTTATGAGTATAGTCTATAATACAATTCTTCTGAGTATAATTTATGAAAATATCTAAATAGGCATGGAGGGCTTCTCTTCCAGCTGAGAAGATTGCTCCCCAGCACACTGTTATCATAGAACTACAAAAAGTGCGATGCTTTCTTTAAATTTATTTTCCTATTTTATTTTTTCATATGTGACTTTTCCTTAGTGATTTTTTATTTATTTTTTGCCTGTATGTTTTATGGTACATCTATAAATTTTATCTTTGTGGTATTATGAAAATTTTAGCTCTCTCTCTTAACTAAATTTACAAAAAAAAGTTATTTGGTTGATTCATTTTTAACAGCGCGAAACGTGAATAAGTTAGAGTCCGAAACTTAAATAATAATTTTTTGGATACAAAGCACAATTTTAATGTTAAAAAAAAAGTTACATTAATAGGTAATTCGCAGTATAATACTGCGAATTGCTTTAACGGAAATTTAGCCGTTAAAGCAATTCGCAATATTATACGGCGAATTATTAAAAAAAATATTTTTTTTTAGCAATTCGCAGTACTATACTGCGAATTGCTTAAAATGGACCCAGCTTTTTTTCAAAAGGCAATTCTCACTATTATACTACGATTTAGGGTAATTCGCAGTATAATAGTGAGAATTGCCTTTTGAAAAGTTATCTTCTTCCCTGACAGAACTCCCCCACCTCCAATAAAAAAATGTTCTCCTCAAATCTGGTTCCCCACCCCCGTGATTTTTTTTTTAAAAAAAATTCGGCCCCACCCGTCACCTTAAGAGCAAGGAGTGTAGGTCCCAGGCACAAGACAAGCTTTGGATTCCTTCTCTCGATCGTAGTATTCCATTTCAATCAAATTCAAAAAACTTCAATCGAGGTATTTCGATTTTATTTATGTAGAAACTCGTATAATACATGCATATATGTATTTTTTTAATGTGTTTCCATGTAAAATGTGTGATAGTTTGTGTCTAAATTTGTATGTTATTATATTCGACTTGATTTATTAGTTTTGGTAAAAAAATAATATTAAAAGTTGATAAATTATTTGTATTTTAAATTTTATGTTTTTATTTGGATAAATAAAAAATTAATATTATTTTGTTTGTTTGTTGTTCATATTTGTATTTTATGTTAGTTGTTTTTATATGTAATAGTGACCTTTTTGCGTAGTAAACTAAATAGCCTTTTAGCGTAGTAAAATATAGATCCTTTTAGCGTAGTAAAATATAGAGCCTTTTAGTATAGTAAAATATAGAGCCTTTTAGTGTAGTAAAATATATAGCCTTTTAGCCTAGTAGAGCCTTTTAGATTACACTTTACAAAAATTAATTATTTAATTCATTAATCTAATAAAATTGACACGCATAATAATTAAGGATAACTCGGTGCTACCGGGCCTCAAAAATCAAGCCTGGAACNGTGAACTGCTCAAGACATGACTGAAGTGACGAGCACTGCATTCCCCGTTCTTATTCGAAGAAGCCGTAGAAGAATGAATCAGCACCTGCAGCTAGCAAGCATCAAGGTTCAAATCAAAAGTCTGCATGAAGAACCATTCAAGACTCAAGATCAAGCTTCAGAAGACTTATAGATAGGAATCTTGTAACTCAAAGCTGATAGGCTTGTTTAGTTCTTTTAGATTTTGATTTTGAAGTAATAACAGGACCACGGACCGGGCCTCGACGGCACCTCACTCGACTCTCTCACCCTCTTCACATATTCCATCACTTCATGCACTTCTGAATCTACACATGTTTTGATTCCTTTATAGCCAAGGATATGTAGGCAGCTCAGATACCAGGGCTCGATCACAATCTTTCATCCATCTTTATCTCATTTGCATAAGTGCCGGGTCAGAAGTCAATTACTTCGCTTACTTGTTTCTTTGCTCAAAAACACTTCGTGTTTCCTAGCAAAGAGGGGCAGCTGTAAGCACGTAATTTTTGACCCGCATAATTTTTAAGTTAGTTTTAGTATTTTAAATATTTACTTGAGTTATTATAGATTTTTAATCCATTTTTATTATCACTTTATCAGTTTAGTTTTATTGTTTTAGTAATTAAAAATTAAAAGAAAATACAAAAATAGTTTCATTTTAATATGAGTTTTGTTGTAGCTAGAGTTCATTTGTATTTTATTAGTGTTTTGTTATTTATTTTATTTTTGATTTTATTTTTGGAAAAAGAATGAAACTTGAGGCTAGTTTTTGTTTTGTCTTAATTCAAGAAGTCCAAAGAGATGGCCCAATTTAGATCTAAGCCCAATCCTATTTGACCATCAAATCACTTAGTTTAGGAGATTAAATCCTAGCCTTTCATTTAATCTAATCCAATGGCCCATACNTACTAAACATAATTAATTATTTAATTTATTAAACTAACACACACAATAAATTTTGTTTAAATTATAGTAGACGACATGGCCTTTCCTCCGCCTGCGCATCCTGGACCTGCCGAGGATCAGCTTTTAGTGCTGCAGGGCGACCATAGGTCCTCCTTTGTATGGGAGGGACAGCTATCGGAGCAGCCTCTCCGCCCCAGGAGGCCCGACGATTTGTGGGAGTTCATCGCGGAGAATCCTTTCCATGGCCGCATAGTCGAGCGCCTACAGGCTACGGGCTTCTATACGATTATTCAGCTTGGACGGATGCAGCTCGATTGGTCTCTCATCACGGCGTTGGTAGAGCGGTGGCGATTGGAGACGCATACTTTTCACTTGCCCACCGGAGAGGCCACCATCACGTTTGAGGATGTTCAGGTTTTATACGGGCTTCGCGTGGATGGACGGGCCGTGGCACTGCCCCATTACATTAGAGGGATGACGCGTGCCCAGTTTTTGGATATGATGGGGGAGTTTACTAGTTTTAGACCAGAGGGTGGCGCTGGGGGCAGTCGCGTTCTTTTGTCAGCCATTAGAGATCAGATAGTGTTTTTGCACCCAGACATTCATGGCGAGACGGAGGATATTTGGATTAAGAGGTACACGCGCTTGGCGTTGCTCCTGCTCTTCGGGTGTGTCTTGTTCCCGGACACTTCGGGGAGTAGAGTGACTATGCGCTTTCTCCATTATCTCCAACAGCTGGATGAGTTACCGCAGTACAGCTGGGGTTCTGCTATTCTGGCATACCTGTATAGGAGCATGTGCCGGGCGAGCATAGGCCCAGCGGTGGATATATGTGGTTTTCTGCCCCTCCTACAGGTGACAAAATTTTTGAATACTCTGTTCATTACTCCGAATTGTATATCTTGAAATGACTCATAAATTTTACATCAACCTTTTCTCTTAGGTTTGGGCCTTGCAGTGGATCATGCCGTTGCAGCCACCTCTACCACCACTTCCGCCCAGTGAGGCTTATCCGTTTCTCCCTTTAGCTGTCAGGTGGATTCTCCGGCGTGGGAACTACCGAGGGAGCGATGCTCATCATAATCTCCCCCTTGTCAGGGATGTGTTAAATATGTTGGTGGATGGACAGGTAAAAATGTACCTACACTTGCTTGTTTTAAATTGAGTTGTGTCGCGCGTACTCACTTTTATGTTATTATTTGGTAGTTCATCTGGACGCCATACAGCGTCGAGTTGGTTGCTCAGCTGCCCGCATGTTGCTCAGTCGACCGGCTACTTTGGAGCACCTCTGTCCCGATGATCTTCTTTGATCACGTTGAGTATCATGCCACAAAGCGTGTGCTTCGACAGTTTCACCGTCCCCAGCCTATACCGAGGGAGCCTGGATGGGAGGTTACACACTATCAGCGGGACGACCGTGGCAGCATGGACCAGCGGTATATGGGATGGCTACAGCAACAGATAGTTTATTGGGAGGAGCGAGTTGAGCGTATTCCGCCACCACCTACATTTACCCAGGAGGCCACTGTCCATCTGTATACTGAGTGGTACCGCCGTCACACCCGACTGATGATCGGGAACCCCATTCATATACTTGACGAGCGCTACAGACCGTATGCCGGGAGACTCGAGGCACTGGTATGTTTTTGTGGCTTATTAATATCTTATAATTTGGATATAGCGTTATTTAATTAATGTTTTAAATGTTTCACAGGCTATTGGGCATCATCAGCTCTTCCAGTTGGGTCAGCAGATGCAGCAGCGTGCCGACATCCCTGAAGTGGTTGAGTATGGCCGGCAGGTGGCACAGTTGGCTCGCCGGACACTGTTGCAGGCGAGAGATGCCGCGAGGTTGGACCGCGAGGCTCAGTACGCGGCGCCAGAGGCCTACCATCGGGGTAGGGGTGTCCCGCGAGGCAGGGGTAGGGCACGAGTGAGGGGTGCCCCACGAGCCATGGGTGCCCCACGGGGTCGCGGGGGGTCGTAGGGGACGGCGAGGAGGTGGTCCCCAGCAATGGGGCGGTGAGGCACCTGTCGACCCACATGCTGAGGGACAGGATGAGGACTTTGGAGTTGAGGCGCTTGGAGATGATCAGCAGGGTTATATACCTCAGGCAGATGAGCCTTCCAGCAGCATGTCTTCTTATAGCCTTCAGCTATCTCTGCCGGCATCACAGGTCACCCCGTCAGGAGCATTGTCGATCACGGGTACATTCGACGGGGATGTAGAGCAGTACTTCGGATGCCCATCTACCGCAGCTGAGGATCGGTCGACCCGGGACGTGGATGGCGGGCGCAGGTTGAGTTATCCTCGATCCCCGATAGTTCATGCGGATCTACCACAGGCGGCGGTATATTTGTATTACTTCAATATTTCAATTTGTTTTCTTTTCCTTAATGAGCTGCCATTAATTAATTTTTACTTTCTTATGCAGTCTTCGTCCCAGCCCATGCGATGATGAGCACACCACGGATGCATATACCCAGGAGGTCGACGAGACCATGGTGAGAAAATATTTTTTTACTTAAAATAATAATACATTTTGTAGGTTAAGATAATAATACATTTTCATAAATAATACATTTTCACATGCTAAGATTACTTCTTGTTTTGTAGGTTGCTGACGGCCCGACGGCCTATTCTTCCGATCCTGCCAGTTGTAGTGTCGATACTGCTGCACATCCTCACATAAAGAGGCGGCTTGATGATGATGATCCAGATAGTGTGCCCGGGCGACAGGGGATGCGACTTAGGCCAACAGCAGCACTGAAGCACACAGGCTGCGACACTCACTGATTTACTTATGTATTAACTTTGTGTAAATAGTGCTTTATGTAAATAATGGTAACAATTATCTTTTAATAATAATTTTAATTTAATTGCGTTTGAACAGCAATTTTACTTAAACAGTACAACTCAAACACAAACCTTACAAAACTAACACAAAAACAAACAGTAGAAGTAATGAAAGCACTTGACAAAGGAAACATGAAGATACACTACAACACTCAACACGTAAATGTCATTGCTTAGTTACGACCGCCTAGTATTCTCTGCTTCATCCTCTCGAGCTTTTTTTCCAATTTTTTTTCTCTTCTTCCACCTCCTTGATCTTCGCCTTCAACTCTTCAATTTCTTGCTTCGATTGGCGCTCTCTGTCCCACTGCTCCGTACACACATCTTGAAGATGATACAACTTGTCTTTGTAGTATTCTTGCTCACATGGTTCATCAACCCATACCTTAAAATTGCATATAGGTACGTCGGGTTGCCTATAAAACTTGTTCATACACGCCCAGTAGCGGCGTCCAGCTTCTTCCCATTCATTGTACATCATGCTTTTGATTCCACAGTCGCACTTTGGGCAACGAAGGGGTCGTTGAGACATTTCTTAAAGAGAAGTTTGGTTTTATGGAAAATCTCGATTATAGGTTGTTGTTAAGCGCAGAAAATAACTCGAATGCGCTCGTTATTTATAGGCAAGATTTCAGATTGATCGTAGTATTATACTGCGAATTACATATTAAATTTCTCTGACACGAAACAGGGTTTTCACATGATTGTCAGCTCTTTCAGAACGACATGACAACTCAACAAAACGTAGTATTATACTGCGAATTACATATTAAATTTTTCTGACACGAAACAGGGTTTTCAGCTTTTTCAGAACGACATGACAACTCAACAAAACGTAGTATTATACTGAGATTTACATATTTAATTTTTCAAAAAAAAATTCTATTTTCAGAACGACATGACAACTCAACAAAACGTAATATTATACCACGATTAACATTTTAAATTTCTTCACACGAAACATGGTTTTCACATGTTTTTCAGCCTTTTTAGAACGACATGACAACTCAACAAAACGTATGTATTATACCACGTTTTACATATAATTTTTTTAAAATTTTTTTAGTTTGGAGTTCTTTAGCAACAATAATAAGTTGAATATTTGAACAATTCTATGAAGAAAATAATACATTATGTATTTAATGACAACAACTCTACTATAACAATATTTTTATTGGAACAAAATTTGAACAGCAATTTTATTTGAACATGACAACACAAACACAAAAGCGGCAAATCTAAAGATACAAACAGTACAACTAATACAAACACATGACAAGGGAAACATAAAAATACACTACTACGCTTATCACGTACAAGCCACTATTCAATCACGACCGCGTACTACAATTTTCTCCAACCACTCGAGTTGTTCTTCCAGCTTTTTTTTCTCTTCTTCTACCTCGTTGAGTTTGGCCTTTAACGCCTCAATTTCATCGTTGGTTCGGCGCTCGCGTACCGCTTGGCTTGTACAGGTACAATGAAGGTCATAAATTCTTTCTTTGTAGTACTCCTGGTTACATGGTTCATCCATCCAAACCTCAAATTCAAATGTAGGCTTGCCGGGTAGCTCGTCAAGCTTGTTCGTACATGCCCAGTAGCGGCGTCCACCATCTGGCCACCATTTGTACAAACTGCATTTTTCTCCGCAGTAGCACCTTGGGACATAAACGTTTTGTTCAGACATTTCTTATAGAGAAACTTTGGTTATTGTTAAGCGAAGAATATAAGTAGCATGCGACCGTTATTTATAGTCAAGATTNTAAAAGGGGTTTTTACAAGAGGTTTTTCACAGACTTTCCTACACATACGTACACAGAACACCATCCGAGTTCACAATTCAATTTTCACTTAAAACTCTCTCTTTTGATCTTGTGCTGCTGTGGACAGTGTTTACTTTACTTTCTTCTGCACTTCTTTTGCTTCTCTACTGGTATGTCTCAGTTAGTTTACATGCCTCAACAACAATGTGTTTAATTCCGCCTATTTCCTTTAGTTGATATTTGTTTCCCTCTCCTTTATATTTCTGTATTTAAGTTATGTGTGTAATCAATTGTTTGCCATGAATTTGATACTCTGTGAATCCCCTTTACCCTTTTACCCCTTTGTATGTGAGTTTATTGTTCAGGGCATAGCAGCACCCCAATATTGCTGTCTATGATCCTGAACTGGGTTCATTGAACTCCTTAACTCAATCAATTCCCACTTCCCATTCTCCCCATTATGTGCTTGAGCCTTGACTTAGGTCTGATAGTGTCCTAATCACTATCCAGACCTTTGTCTGACCATCAAAAGGGTCTGCTCCTAACTTGTTCATCTAGCAAGTGGTCAGGGGTGTGCCAGCCTGCCTTATGGCTAGGTATGACCACCACTTGTCATGGCCCCCTTAATTCCCTTTCACTTTGCACTTACTCCTAGCTATAAGTTCTGCCCCTCTCTTGCAAGCCATGCTTTGGGACCCCCGAGCTCCCTCTGAACTTGGATGCCTGAGGGCTGGCTACTCCACACTGCACCATCCTGTTCATAATGGCATCCGGTGTGTAAGCAATGCCTGGAATCCCTGAGGTTCCTTGAAACTTTGAAACGCCCTGGATAATGAGAAGGCTTTGGAGATCTGGACCCCGGAGTTGGTTAAATACATATTATTGGACATTAAGATTGAATTAGGCCGCTTGGATCTAGCTGTTAGTTTTTGATGTATTTTTATTATTTCAATTGATTCATTAGGTTGTAATAACTTGTATAGAACTCGGGGAATCTAGTAAAAGGGTGTGGGAGGGTTTTTACTTTCTTGCATCAATAAAGGGTAGATATCATGACTTTAGGACTTTAATTTTTCTACTAGAAATACTACACATAAGATGGTTCGATGTTTCTGATTCAAGTCATCTAGATACCATGCCTATAGGGTTTATCGTTTAATTATGATATAAGTCATCTAGAAATCCTGCCTATAGGACCTTAACGTTCATGTAATCAGTGCATATAGAAATCATGCCTATAGGGAATGCATATGCATTAGGCAAACTGTAGGGTAAGTAAATAATTACCTCTTCTTACCAGTTCTTAAGAGACCTTTTTTTTAATCAAATATAGATATCTTAGGATTCCGCAGCAAGTTCGTCCGATTCTTCTTAAGCAATAACAATCTGTTAACTGGTCTCTAATGTCTTAATGTTTTCAGCCTCAATCTTTTGACGAAAACTCTTTTGAATCAGTATGCATTTGAGTTTTTCAAATCAGCACCTCTTCCGAAATGGTTTCTTTCTAAAATTCGGCTTAAATATTTTTCAACTAAGTTTTGGTCTTCCTGAAATTGTCTTTAAAACAGTTCTGCAGTTTATTCTTTCCTAAAGTAATTCTGACTCTAGAATTCCTTTTATGGTTTATACTCATGATTCTCTTAAAACTTATTTCTAAACTGACTGCAGTCTGTACTTTCCGGCATTAGACTACTTTTCTCGAACCAGTACTTTCTAAATCACTCGCTTAAAATACCTTAAGGTCTGACAATTGGATCCAAGTTGCCTAATGTGGGCTTCCTGTCTAAACGTATGTATCGAACCAATCCGCTCGCTGCTTAATTTTTAATTTTTAAAGACCATAACCAGTATGTGTAAAGGCATGCTAAACTAGATGTTATCTGATTTACGGGGTTTATGTGAGCCTTACCTGTTTGTCTGTTCATTCCCCCTACTTGTTACTTGTTTATGAATGTCGATTAGAATTTTTGTCCTTTAAACTCCATAAAAGCCCCCATCCCTTTCTTCCCATTTTAGGATTAGAAGTCCTAATGCCCCGGGACTGATAGCTTGGGACGGGTAATAGCATGCAATAGGCAAACGATACCATTCCGCGCTCCAATACCTTAACGGGGTGGGAAAGGGTAGACATGGAGATGACGATTACACGATAACACTATGCGTACAATTGAGTACCAGTGTTGTGCAATGATCCATGTAATATATAAACCTAGGACCCCCCTCCCTCTTTATTAGTTTAACAATTTTCTGAATCTTAAAAAGCTGTTGCACTTTCGACTTTTGTTTTTCACATAATTTTCAGATTGTTCGCACTAAGTACTTGACTTCTTCCTACTTGCACTTTTAACTAAACTGCTCCTTCCCTAAAATTCAGCACTTTTTTTAACCTTTTGTGCTCCTTATTTGTAATAATTTTCTCGTATTTGCAATGCTTGCTTGTTCACTTGTTTGTTTGCATTCAAAGTCACAATTGTAGCATGGCCGGGAACCACACTAGTGGATCTTGAGGGTGCCTAACACCTTCCCCTCGAGATAATTTCTAGCCCTTACCCAAACTCTGGTTCTTCATCTCAAATTCTTCCTTAAAGTGTCCTAATGCACTATAATCATTGGGTGGCGACTCTTCAAACTCCAAAAACCCAATTCTCGCAAGGGAATAGAGTTGTCCTCCCGAATGTCGTGAACCCGATTCCGCGAGGAAAAAGGGGGCGTCGACACCGGGTAGCTCGTCAAGCTTGTTCGTACATGCCCAGTAGCGGCGTCCACCATCTGGCCACCATTTGTACAAACTGCATTTTTCTCCGCAGTAGCACCTTGGGACATAAACGTTTTGTTCAGACATTTCTTATAGAGAAACTTTCGTTATTGTTAAGTGAAGAATATAACTAGCATGCGACCGTTATTTATAGTCAAGATTTCACACAAAATGTAGTATTATACTGCGATTTACATATTAAATTATTCTGATACAAAAACGGGGTTTTCACATGGTTTTCAGCTTTTTCAGAACGACATGACAACTCAACAAAACGTAGTATTATACTGCGATTTTACATATTAAATTATTATGATACAAAAACAGGGTTTTCACATGGTTTTAAGCTTTTTCAGAACGACATGACAACTCAACAAAACATATTATTATACTTCGATTTACATATTAAATTATTCTGATAC